CACTCTCCGGCACTCTCCGGCCCTCTCCGGCACTCTGCGGCAACTCTCCGGCACTCTCCGACACTCTCCGGCACTCTACTGCACTTAAGAACGCTCAACAGCACTGTTCGGCCTGCGATAAGGCTCAGAAACACTTGAAATACGCGTGAAAACGCTCGAAAAAGTTCAAAAACACCTGAAAAACGATCGATAACGCTCGAAAACGGTCGAAAAACGATCGATAACGCTCGAATACGCTCGATAACGCTCCATAATACTCTAAAAACGCTCGAAAACAGTCTAAAAACACTCGAAAACGGTTGAAAAACGCTCGAAAACGCGTGAAAACGCTGTAAAGACGTTCGATAACGATCGAAAACACTAGAATATCACTCGATAACACTCGAAAACGCTCTGAAAATGCGTGAAAACGCTCGAAAACGCTCTGAAAATGATCGAGAAACGCTCGAAAAAGCTTGAAAAACGCTCGATAATGTTCGGAAACACTCGATAACGCTCGAAATACGCTCGAAAACACTTGAAAACGCTCGAAAAACGCTCAGTAATGCTCGAAAACACTCGATAGCTCTCGAAAACGCTCGAAAACACGCGAAAACGCTCAAAAGACACGTGAAAACGCTCGGAAAACGCTCGATAACGCTCGAAAACACTCGACAACGCGTGAAAACGCTCGAAAAACCCTCGAAATACGCTCGAAAACACGCGAAAACACTTGAAAACGCTCGATAATGCTCGAAAACACTCGATAGTTCTCGAAAACACGCGAAAACGCTCAAAAGACGCGTGAAAACGCTCGAAAACCGCTCGGAAAACGCTCGATAACGCTCGAAAACACTCGAAAACGCGTGAAAACGCTCGAAAAACGCTTGGTAACGCTCGATAACGCTCCAAAACACTCTAAAAACGCTCGAAAACAGTCTAAAAACACTCGAAAACGGTTGAAAAACGCTCGGTAATGCTCAAAAACGCTCGATAACGCTAGTACGGAAATGTAAAAATCATACGCGAAATGACTCAGCTTATATCCGCAGTTAGGTAAACCTCGGGAGGATTTTTCGCAGAATTCGACTCTCCCGCATACTCGACGAGTGTAGCGCCGAACGCACATATATTCAACATCTCGACCCGTAGCTTGGCACTTGGCTGGTTGGGACACGCGAAGATTTATAGGAGCGATCGCACTCACGCAGATTCGCTGAATGAGAATTCCGTACGCGACACCGACGCGTGCCCCAAAGCTCCGCATCACGTCGACTTCGAGGCAACAATGTACTTAATAGTAGTAGATAAGTAAATAAAGTCAAATGGAGCGTTACGAATGTTCTTCCCTTACCATCAAAAGCGAGCAGTGTTGGTAAGCGTAGGTAAGCCACCACCGTCAACTGCCGCATGGTATTACCATCACGAGTACGTGAGCCGCAAACGGCGACTGGTAGATGGTACCGCCATTGCGAGTGCGCGAGCTCCTATCAGAAATTCGTTGCGCCGCCCTTGGGGGCAAAAAACGGTGAAAGCTAACGTACGAAACCAGAGGGCAGCACAGGATTCGATCACACGACCCTGCCCGTGAGCAATCTCCCAACTCATCTGTGTCTTCGAAACTCATCTCTGTTCAATGCGCGGTCTATATACATATGTGGTCTAAGGACGAGATAGTAAAAAAAAGTGAGGAATTGTTCTCCAATCAGGATGCAGAATACATCGGAAATAACCAATGGTGGGTTTTATCAGGAGGCGCGAGTGAATTATGGAACACATCACGAAAGTATGCAGATTTGGCAACGTTGCGTTGAATGAGAGTGCACGTATAGGAAATGAAGTAGATTGACATTGTTAGAGCGTGTACTCGTTATTTGTCTAGTGTGGTCTGTAAATAGGTAATTATACGATTCTTACAACTCAGAACTTGTGCTGATTCGTGTGAAATATTTATCGATTCCTTTAAATAGTAGACATACAATTTCTTTGTTCCGTATTGCAGAATTGTGAGGTTATGATTTGCGTTATTTTTTCTCAATAAGAATTACACTCTTTTAATGCAATTACTAGGTTTTAGTTAACGTCGTCTGATATTATTTATAGTTGAGTCCACCTACTCTCAGAAGACCAGATATGGGTGTGCCAGGTGCAAGAAACTTAGAAGCTATGGAAGTAGAAGTTGCTAGTTCGGAGATTCCTAATGGAGAAGGTGATACTGGTGAAAAGAAAGATGTAGATTTGCAAACAATTCACGATTTGCGAGAACATACTCGGCAGATAGAGAAAGCTGTTCAAAATAAGGAGCCACGCTTCATTCTGCGTGTGTTGCGAGCTTTGCCAAATACAAGGCGTAAGCTTAATCCAATTGTCTTGAGAGGAATTATTGGTGGATTTTATACAAAATCTGCAGCGGAACGCGAAGCACTTTTGGCCTGGATCGAAGAACCAATGGACACGGAAGGAGCTCAGGCAGCTATTCTACGATTTCGCAGTTCCGCTTCTCCCCTACTTCCAGAAATTGATGCATATATCCATCTTTTAATTTTAGTAAGATTAATCGATACCCGGAAATTTGAAGAAGCAGTGCAGTGTTCGGAAGCACTGGTTCAAAAGATTACTGCCCAGAATCGGAGAACAATAGATTTGATTGCTGCCAAGTGTTATTTTTACCACTCACGAGCTTATGAATTAACAAATCAATTAGACAAGATCAGGAGTTTCTTACATCTGCGTTTACGTACAGCAACACTCCGGAATGATTACGAAGGTCAAGCAGTACTAATCAACTGTCTGCTGCGTAACTATTTGCATTACAATTTGTACGATCAAGCAGATAAGTTGGTACTGAAATCAACTTTCCCTGAACTAGCTAGTAATAACGAATGGGCTAGGTTTTTGTATTATCTCGGTAGAATCAAGGCTGCTAGACTAGAATACTCAGCTGCACATAAAAATTTAGTGCAAGCAATGCGTAAGGCTCCTCAGACTACAGCAGTTGGATTCAGACAAACTGTACAAAAGTTGGCAGTCACTGTAGAACTTCTGCTTGGTGATATTCCCGAGAGGCAAATATTTAGGCAAGCAGCATTGCGCCGTGCCCTTGCACCGTATTTTCAACTAACTCAGGCAGTGAGACTTGGAAATTTGCAGCGCTTTGGTGAAGTTCTTGAAAACTTTGGACCACAATTCCGATCAGATCACACCTTCACTTTAATATTGCGCTTGAGACATAATGTCATTAAAACTGCCATTCGCTCCATTGGACTCTCATACTCACGTATCTCACCATCCGATATCGCATCTAAACTTGGATTAGATTCTGGTGTCGATGCAGAGTTTATAGTTGCTAAAGCAATTAGAGATGGGGTTATCGAAGCAACCTTAGACCCAGAAAATGGTTACATGCGTAGCAAAGAAACAACGGATATTTATTGCACGAAAGAACCTTTACTAGCTTTCCATCAGCGCATAACATTCTGTCTTGATTTACACAACCAGAGCGTCAAAGCCATGCGCTATCCACCGAAATCATATGGCAAGGATCTGGAATCTGCAGAGGAACGAAGAGAACGAGAACAACAAGATCTAGAACTTGCAAAAGAAATGGCAGAAGAAGACGATGATGGATTCCCTTAAACAATACAATATTTAATTATAAATAGCAGCATCGTGTCTGTAATCAGAATTCTATCGCTTGCTTGCAAACTGTAATCATTAAGGTAATAATAAAAAAATCATTTCGATATTTGGAACTTCTGTGAATACGATGAATAAGGAACGTTTTTTTGGGAATTTGAATCCAGTAAAACTGGACGAAGTAACAGGACTACATTTTTAGAAAGAGAGGAGTTTACCTAAAGTATTATTATAAATGTTAAAATGATTAAATCAAACCATGTTCAATCCCACTTACCACTTATTTATTTCATTGATTTTTCAACATCTTATCGATATATTCTTATGCTATTCTAACTTCAATAAAAGGATTTCGTTTGATATTCTTTAATACAGTGTCAGGCAATTGAGTAATGATTGCTATAAATTACCAAATTACCGATATAATTAAAGTAAAAACGCGGATATTACCTTAAAATGGCGCTGATATTAGCATTCCATTTTTTGCTACTTTAGTGAATCGAATAACCGTCTTCATTATTTCGTCATTCAATTTATTGTATTAGACAACTCGTTTCTGGTATTAGTGGTTTTATTCCCTCATGTTCAATCTTGAACGGAAGTGAAATTAATCACGGGATATATTTGCACACGTGACATCCTGTTGCATTCATATTGCACAATGACCGGTTGCGAGTAGGTTGTCAAGGAAAACAATACAGCAATACGAGAACCCATAAATTGGCAAGTACAAAACCAAAATGGTTTTATTAGGAGAAACCTTTCCTAATTTTAAGGCCGAGACGAGTATGGGTACGGTCGATTTCTATCAGTGGTTAGGCAACTCGTAAGTATCAATCTAGTATCACTTAACCTTATACACGATATCGCCATGCGTTTGACAAGTGTCAGCATGTTTTTTTCATAATTTTCTGCAATGGTGAGAATTACGAGTCAATTCTTTCAGATGGGGTATTCTGTTTTCCCATCCAAATGACTTTACTCCAGTTTGTACCACCGAATTAGCAAGAGTGGTACAGCTTATGCCGGAGTTCAAAAGACTCTGTGTGAAAGTTATCGCCATGTCTTGTAATTCAGTCGAATCCCATAGAAAATGGATTGAGGTAAAATCATGAAGTCAAATATAAACTTCTAGTTTTTAGAAAAAAGTATACTAAGTAGCCCAAATCTCATTTATGTGTTTCGTGAAATGGAGCAGGATATTAAATCGTTTGGGGATATAAGCGAAGAAGGATTTCCATACCCAATAATAGAAGATGAATCCCGTAAGCTTTCGACATTCTTTGGGATGTTAGATCCTATGGAAACGGATAGCAATGGTCTCCCGTTATCTGCCAGAGCAGTTTTTGTTATCGATCCATCAAAGAAAATGCGTCTGTCAATTTTATACCCTGCCACCACTGGACGAAACTTCGAGTAAGCTATTTAGATCAAACCGTTAACAGTTTTAAACATTAAGATTGGGACATGTATTTTTAATGCACTATTTTCCAGTGAAATCATAAGAACAATTGAATCGTTACAACTCACGGAGAAACACAAAGTCGCAACTCCAGTAGATTGGAAGGTTAGTATTTAATTCACTTGCTTTTCATTAAACTCCCAAAATGTTATTGCATTCATAAGACACAATTATTTTACATTTCAGAAAGGAGATGACGTAATGGTTCAACCTACAGTATCCGACGAAGAAGCTAAAAAACTATACGCAGATGATTTGAAGGTTATTGCCTTACCATCAGGAAAATCTTATCTTCGAATCGTACCTCAGCCCACCAACTAAATTCCAATAACCCAAAATAATTTAATACCAGACTTCTAAATAAATGATATTTTGTTTACTACTTCCAAATGTTTTCAAATAAAATCAAATAAGTGCCGAATCTTTTTTCTCGTCGACAATCAAATAATAAGAAAACTTCTTGGCCAACCCACTCATGGAGAAACTAAGCAAAACCCACACGATTTGTCGACGTTTGCAAACAACAAAAGAAGCCGTTTATTATTTCACCTAATATAATTAAAAGTACACTGCTTTATATACACTTTTCCAAGTACACATGTTGCTTACTATGTCTAGGCAGATTGTATATTATGTACAGTCCTCCTCTCCATTTTAAATTATCGCTAAATATTAATAACTTGTCTACGTTACGGTTACATTATATTACGCGTACGATAGTCCATAATAATGCATAGCAGCAGTTATATAAAACAGTCCCTCGGTCAAAACCAATAAGATCAAAAAGGAATAATCGATTTAACAGAAATGATACCTCGTTAATAACGTTACGTAATTAAAAAGTTAATTACCACACAGTGTGTATAACTCCGCAGAAATACTATTGCCCGGTCTCTGCCCGGGGTGGCTCGGTGTATCCACTCGCGTCGAATCCACCAGGTCGTGTCCCGAGAGTCCGCACCTCGTGCACTAGGTCGCTTCCTGGACGTAAATCCTGGCATAAATAATCCCTGGAGTCGCTACGACAAACGCAGTCCATCAACAAAACTGTTCCAACGTTACCACGTCACAAGTGCATCGGCATCAGAGGACCCAACCGTGGATCTCCACGTCTCGTACAAGGGGTTTCATTTCCCATCGAGGCGATCACTATCTAATTCACGACCGTGGACATCGCCGTGGCTCGAGGCATCTCTTCGGGGTGCCCGTTGAGGTTAGCTGCAATGATCGACCCCCGGTAACCTTAGGAACCGGGACGAACGATGCCCGCTCGTGGTGCCCAACGAAGCCTCGGTACAAAACCAGGTATCTCGTAATTAATTTATTCCTCTATTTTTCCCTTAAGTTACTCAATCGCGACATTCCAGCGTTTCGGCGGGAGTCGAGGATACACCCGCTCGGACGAGTCGTCCAGATCCAGTCTAAACGTGCGATACGCAGTCGTTGGCGTCACATAACCTCAAAGTCGTAAACTCATCGAGTTCCGTTATAATTCCCACCAACGCTCCTTCGAGCTCCTAATGATGCGCAACTAATTCGTTAGGTTTACATCCTTCCAGTCCAGGAGGGGACCCCTAGGTGTTCCGCCGACACCCGGGGATCCGTCCTGAGAGAGCTGGATATACCATGGCAGTTCTCCGGCGAGCCGTCGCGGCCGTCCCTTCGGCGCGCCCAGAAAATGAGAGCGCGCGAGGACCGATCGACAGAGGGTCCTTGAAGAAGCGCGCGAGGACCTTTGGGCAACAACTCCCGAGTAAGCGTACGAGGACCGAATCGACCGCGTCGTCAAGAATCGGTTCTAAAATCGGACGTCTTCGTGTCTGCGCTCCCGGAGGAAGCAGCGCGCGAAGACCTTGCGCTCGGCGTCCGCCACGAGCAACGTACTTCCTTGCGATCTAAGCACCGCTTCCGCCGTCCTCCCTTCCCCGAAAGCTACCGAGAGACGATACGTTATCTCGACCTCTTCACGTTTTTGCGAGACTTCCTGCAGGAAATCTGGTAGTCAATACCGTTGAGCCATCGTCAAAAAAAAAAAAAAAAAATCCGATCGATCGGCGAGGAACGTTGCAAATTCGTTGCGATCCGAGCCTCACGCCTGGCGTCCTTCCGCGAGTCGGCGAGAGCCAACGAGAGGCGAACTCTTCGCGTCTTCACTTGGAGCGAGAGTTTCTGGAGGAAGCAGCGCGCGAGGTCCTTGTGGCCGGCGCCCGCGAGCCCTTGTCAGAAGACCGACTGGCCGGCGCCCTGGGGGCCGGCGAGGAACGATGCGGTTCGGTGCGAGCCAAGCGCCGCGCCCGCCGTCCTCACTCGCCCGTGGCCGCGTGACTTTCGTGCTGCTGCTGCTCGGCCTGCTGCTGGCGCTGCAGCTGCTGCTGTTGTTGCTGTTGCTGTTGCTGTTGCTGCTGCTCGCCCTCCATCCGCGCCTGCCGCTCAGCGGCGGCTCTGGCCTGCCTGCCGGCACTCGAGCGGAGGTTCTTGCGCTCCGGAGGAGGTTCCACGCTCATCCGTTTGCCGCTGCGAGCCTTCTTGCTCTTGTTGCTCTTGGAGTCCTCCTCGGCCTCCTGGGGAGGTTTCGCAACCTCGGGCTTGGGAGGCGAGGCCTGGGGAGAGGTGATCTCCGACTGCGGGGTCTCCGCGCGCTCCTTCCCAGAGGTCGTCGGTGCCTCCACCGGGAGAGCGTTCTCCTCCTGGGCGGGCTGCGAGGTCGGCCTCGAGGTGGATCCAGGTCTGGGGATGGGGTCGACATCAGGGAGACTCTCCGGGACGGGGCTAGCCTTAACCGAGGACGCCGTGCTCTCGGACTCGGCCCGCGCCTTCTTGCTCACCGGCTCCAGCGTGACCTCGAGCGAGGGCGGCACCTGCTGCTCCATCGGCAGCTGGTCCGGGTTGCCGCGCGACCTCTTCGTCGACCTCTGTAGGTCCTCGAGGTTCCTCGCGTGCAGCTCCGCGTTGCTCCTGCTGATCTGCTCGAGGGCTTCCCGGATCTCCTGCTCCTTGCTCTTGCGCTCGAGCTTCGCCGAGAGGTCGGCGATCTCGCCGAGCTCGACCTCCTTGGAAGGTCGCTCGGGGTCCTGGTGCTGTCGCTTGCGCGTCTCCTCGCCGTGCAGGGCCAGGTCCGCGTACTGCTGGAGGCCCAGGCTAGGCTCCATTGGGTAGCGGGACTTCTTCTCGGCAGGCTCCTTGCGCTGCTGCTTGCTCATCGCGTCCATCGCGTCACGCTGCCGCGAGCTCGAGGACGAGGAGCTCGACGCGGGCTTGCGCGACGAGGAGGCCCCCGCGGAGGTCGACGGGTTCAGCAGGCCGCACTGGGCCAAGCTCTCGTAGGCCGGAGAAACGCCGCCCGGCTGCATGGAGAACGGGTTCAGCCCGCCCAGGCCCAGGGGCGTGTACAGGAGGCTCGGGTTTGGAAAGAAGAACGGGAAGGGCGTCGTCGTTGGCAGCGACGACGAGGTCGAGGTCGAGGCCGCCGAGGGCTTGCTCGTCGGCGGATCCATCTTGCCCCGTGACTTGCTGCCGCTTCCGGAACCGCCACCTCCAGAGCCCCCGCCTCCGGAACTGGAGGTCTTGCTGCCGACGTTGGCGACGCTCGCCTCGGCGGAGCTCGTCGTCGCGCCCAAGGCGGCCTCCATGCCCGCCAACGAGGGCAGACCCAGGCCCGCCAGGTTGGCGAACAGCGAGCTCGTCAGACTCATGTTGTTCAGGTTGCCTAGGTTGCCCAGGCCCCCTAGTGCTCCCAAGTTCGGCAGGCCGCCGAACGGCATCAGCAGTGGGTTGTTCTTAGGGTCGAAGTTGCCCAGCGATAATCCCGAGAGGAGCGAGTTGTTCAGGTTGCCCAAGGACGGAAAGTTCAGCCCGGAGGCCATCGACGTCGCCGCGAGGTTCGCCTGGCTCGCCGATTGCTGACTCGTCGGCGAGGGCATCATCGGCGGCCTCCCCGGGCTCTTGCCCTTGCTGCCGGCCCGCTCGGCACCAGGCAGCCTCTTCTGCAGGTCGTGCGGCAGGTTGCCGCGCTCCTTCACCAGCTCCGCCCATTTCGGGTCCACGTCGAACATCGGGTTCTCGATCAGCCATTGACCTAGCCGTTTCAGCTGCGGAGCCTTGCTGCCCGTCACCTGAGAACACCAAACGGCGATGAGTCAAGAAAAATCGACGTTGAGAGAACAAGAACGCGCAACAATTTGTCGTTAACTCCGAAAAAAACTTAAAATCCACGTATCTCGAATTAAAAGCAAACGTTTTAGTGATACGGTAAAGTCAAGTCGGCCATATTGAATTTCCGGAGCGAAGTCAGATAAACCATATCTAGAGTAAAAAAAAAAAAAAAACTGCAAAATGACACCGTAATCTCAGAGCCTTGAATATTTCTACAAATTCATTCAGGTCCAATCTTTTACCTTCTTCCCAGTTAGCCTGTTAATGACGGCGACGTTCTCCTCGCCGGTGAGTTTCTTCCAGTCGAGGAGGGAAGGATCGACGCGAGGTCGCCTTCTTCGCGGAGCGTTCAGATACTCGGCCCCCAGTTGTTCCGACATGGCGGTCTGCTCGGCGAGCCATTTGTTAACTTTCGCCTCGTGCGAGTAAGAGCCGATCTTCGACGAGTACTCGGCCACCTTGTTGATGTCAGCGATCATCGCTTCATAGCTCTTCCGGTGGCTGTTCGAGGACGAGTGGGCCGAATTGAAGGACTGCTGCTGGGCCTGGTGTTGATGGTGGTGATGTTGCTGCTGCTGGTGCTGCTGCTGTTGTTGCTGCTGCTGTTGCTGCTGCTGGTGATGGTGCTGGTGTTGTTGCTGCTGCTGTTGCTGCTGCTTCTTGAGCTCACGGTTCTGCTGCTCGGCTTGCGCGAGCAGCGCGGAGAAGCTGTCTTTGTGCGAATGCAACGAGGGCGGCGGCAGCGTCGAACTCGTGTTCGACGCTCGAGAAGACGGAATGGACGTCACGGTGATGGAGAACGGCTTTTGCGAGGGTGCCGGGGGAGTTGGAAGACCTAGTGGAGCAGAAGTTGGGGTCACCGTCACGTTGGGAGTGATCGTCCCCTTTTTACTGTGCTCGGGGTAATGGCTGCTCTGCTGTTCCTTGGCCGCGCTCAGGCCCAGCACTATCTCGTCCAGCTTTCGACGCTTCTTCTCTTTGCCCACCACGGGCTCGTCGGTTGGCTAAAAGATGTAATTTACACGTCAGGGCCTCCGTAAGGCGCAAGAGACGCCTCTTCGCAAGTCGTAAAAGAACGTCGTCACAAGCCATGTACTTACGCAATTCTTCCTCTTCATCAACTTATCCAACATACTATCTAGCTTCCCTTTGTTGCTACTCATGTGCTTGTTTTTACTCGGCATCGAGAAGTCCTGCACCTCGTTCATCATGTCCTTGTTGGAGTCCGTGTTAGCTTTCGGATAACTGGAAATTTAGGTTTTTATTGATCAACGGTAAAAAAGGTCTCTCAGGGTGATAAGATGAAAGTGTAACAACTGAGGGGTCTCGTTCATGACTTTTTTTTCTTTTATCCAATCGTATCGAATCGTTTGAAATTTTATCACGTGGATTCAAAGGCTCTAAGGCGAATACAGAGATCTTGACCCCCATGAAATAACATTCTTTTTTTTTTTACATTTGTTCACGTACATTTAACTTTCTTTTTTGTATATACAGTCTTCCCTTAGATGCTACTGATAAAATCTCTGTAATATTACAAGTGAAATTAATTAAACAAATAACCATCACGGACTCGGGGGTATTTTTTAATCAGAGATAACGTTCGTACCTTGCGGACAAGTCAATAGGCGTCAGAGTGCTCGAGGTTCCCGGGATAATGGTCGTTTTTCCTGGGAGGGTGCACTTAAGGTCAAACGGAAGTGCAGGGGCCCTCGTCTGCTGATGCGCAGGCGGAGGTTGCACCGGCGTGGAGCGTCGAGACTCCTCCGACTGGGATTCCTCGTTGGCCTCTCCCCACGTGGGGCCAGAAAGAACGGTCGGTTTGCTCAAAGCCGCAGGAGGTTGCGACGCCACGTGGGTACTATTGAGCAGGGCGTGTAATTTTGCTGAAAAAAAGGAGAGATTTATTCCACAATTTAATCGTACTCTTAAGTAATATTAAAATAAAAACATCGATAAACAGGCCCACCCGAAGACCAACTTACCTCTTTCCGTCTCAACGTCAATCGCGATGTGTCGTTTACGTTTCTTCGAGGCCGAGGCGTTGTTCCCGCCGGCGAGGTTCCTCGAAACCCCATGATCCGTCGTGATGGTGATAACCTCGGAGGTTTCTTTTTCATTCGGAATGATGTCGAGCTCCTCGCCAGCGCTGAAGTTGATCGACACCGGCCACTCCTTGTGCTCGATCGCGTGGACGATGTGCATCAGTCGCGCCTCAATGGCGTGTTCCTAGATAATAGAATATAAATTTAGACGTGAACCCATTTAAACGACTCCGAATATCGATGACTCGACATTCTTCTAACATACTTTGGGCCACTTTATGGAGGACTGATAGCTATGGGCCAAGATTTGGGCCACGGTGGGTTCGTTGTAATCGATCGCCTTGTCTCGGAGGACGAACGTGTCGATTTGCGTCAAACGCGACAGGGGTTGAATCACCTCCAGGTCCGGGAACATGGCCTTGAGCTCGGCAGCTTGGACGCTACATTTGTCCTCCACCTTCGGAGTCTTTGCCTGATCTTTCGCCGGTTCGACTGCCTTTTCCACCTGGGGTTCGGGTTCCTCTTTAACGGTCGTACTCGCAGCCTGGGACTCCGACTTTACTTCATCGACGACGGTCTGTTCGGAGATCTCGCTGGAACACTCGCTCTTCTCGACGATATCCTTGGTCTCCGTGGTGTTTTCCACCTCTTCCTTCGCCTCCTCTGCCGGGGTTTCAGGTTCCACTGGCTCTACTTCGGGGATCTTTGGCTCCTTCTCGACCTCTTTCTCTTCGACCTCCTCCACTTTCTCCGGTTCTTCGAGGGGCTCTTTGATATCCTTGCTGGAGGAGTCCACGGTCTCTTCAGCCTCGACGACCGTCTCACAGGGTTTCTCCTCGGGCTCTTCGACTTCCATATTTTCTACGGCAGGCTCCGGAACCACTTCGACTTTCTCCTCGGTTTCTATTTTCTCCGGAATACTTTCTTTTTCTGGGGGCGCAGCTTTTGCCACTGTGGTTATCGTGAGCGCCCCGGTGCTGGGCTTCTCCTCGACCTTGTTTTCGGTCTTCACGATGGTCAACTCCACCTGGCTCTTCTCCACGTTCGAAGTTTCCGGTTTCTTCTCCGTGGAAGAGCCGTCCTTGTCCTTCTTCGCGCCGACCTTCTCTATTTTTAAGGTCCCCTCGCCCTTCTCCAGCTTCACGAGGATCTCGTCCTTGTCGAATTTCAGTATGTCCTCCCGGTTTTCGATCTTGATGGCCTTCTCCGATTTCTCGACTATCCTGGAAGCTTGGAGCCCACCGTACATACTCTTTCCCAGAATCTTGTGAAATGAGAAATCCGGATCGTTCAAAATCGTGATGTCGGTTCGACCTAATCCGTGTTTCGCTGCTCCGAGTAGAAGTTCCTTGTCATGTTTGCCAGGCTGCCACCAATCCGGCGTGTCTCCTGATGGCTGACACAACAGAAGGCGCTCTTCTAGGTGTGGATGGGAGAGGATCTCTTCTCGAATTTTGCTGAGGAGGTCCACGCGATCCAGAATCTGCCTAGCCTTACTAGGACTGAGATGATCGATAGAATTGTCTGCAAAACCTGAAACGTCCCAGACTCTAAGAATTGTTTACAAGACGTTCCAAAACACTAAATTCATCCTAAGCGAATATTCATCGAGAACATCAAAGAACTATTAAAAAAAAAAGTATATAACTGAATTAAAAAAATTAACGCTAATGTTATGAGAAAAAAAAAGCATTCAATGGGTGTTACTCGATTCAGAAACGAACCTTCGTCATCGTTGACTTTCGTATTGCAAGCCTTTTTACACATAGCTCTAAAGGACATGTAATAATCGGTGAGGTCGTTGTCAGTCTTCTTATCGAACCTAGCGATGCTCTTGAACTTCGTCCAGTCATACTGGGCCTTTTTTCTGTCATAATTGACACCATAAGTTGACACCACGCGTAAAAATTCGCTCTCTTCTCTGCGAGTCCACTTCGCCCGCTGTTCCTCGATTCGGTTTCTCTCCCTCTCCTTCACCATAGCCTCCATTTTCTCCCTCCTCTCCATTTTCTGCAAACGTAGCAGCAAAGCAATGATCAAAATCTCCTCTTTCATGCGTTCCAATCGTTAAGGTGACAACGAAACCCTCAAACCAGTCGTTTCCGATAAGACACGTATTTGAAAGGCGGTCCGCCAAAACTATTAATTTCACCCCAGAAGGAATAATCTTGAAAAAAATGCGTCTTACTCGAGTCGACTGACTTTGAAAGTCTTACGTTACATTAAACATTATATGTATACGAACCAGAAGATACATAGCCAATTGTTGAAGATCCCACCCTTGCATATTTAAGGGCGGTTCGGGGGCGTTAATGGAGTGTTCGCCCATCTCCCCTTCATTCGATTTATTTTTCGGATGGCCCTTGACCTCGACTTTCTTGACACTGCGCTGGTACGACGTAATGACACGACGCAAACGCGTGTTGAGGTCGACGACCGAAGGCCAGGTCTTCTCGTCGTCCAGAAGCCCATCGGTGCCGTCATGACTACTGCCCGCTTCAGGAATAGGAGTGTCCGCCTTGCTGGAAATCGCTGGAGAATCAGCCGGGGTTTCCCTTCCGAATTTCTCGGAGTCCTTCGAGTCCTTGAGCATGCCCGAGGACTCCCCGTCTTCCATTTCATTCTCCAAACTGCTCTCCTCCCGGTTGCTGAAATTTCATTAGTATCCTCCGGTTACATCAAGTACCACAACGGAGCATGTCAGGGTGCCGATCGAAGGAAATAATACAGTCCGATCTTCTTGAGATCCATAAACCGGCTCTGCGATTACCGCAGTCAAAGAATTCAGAAGTCCCATAGAAGCCCAGATCCTATGCTAGCGCTTGATGCTCTAAAAGTTGGCTAATAAACCAGAAGTGGGGGTAAAAGAGAGATCGCATCTGTTAGCCAACGACATCTTACATACGGGAGGAAGATAGACGCATATAGAAAGGCGAGTATTATGGGTAAGATAAAGAAAGAATGCAATTCGCTACATATCGCCATAAGATTAACCCTTTGCATCCCAAGGACGTTTAAATACGTCCGACGTTTGGTCCAATATTGATCGCACGCTTTTATAAATTTCGCCCATATGTTAAAAGGACTCAAGGGGTTAAGAGAGATGAGAGATGATTACAGCGCCGCCATACGTTGGCTAACGTACTATTTATCGCTCATCGAACGTCCGTATCTTTCTGGGCTTCTATGGAGACTTCTGAATTCTTTGCCGCAGTCGAAGTTCCTGCATCTCAAGAGTCGATATCACATAATAGACGATGTACATTATTACATGTCGGCAGGGCTTGTTTATAAACACGGTCAAGTTCAAGGAAAAAGGCTTAAGAACGAAAACCCGCTACGTTCGCTGCCGTCAAATATTTCCATATTGTACCGTACGCGCCGTGCCAATCAATACACCGAGGTGATAAAAGGCCCTCTATTAACTCCGGCTAAGTCAACAATTAGAGAAGCTCGTTTAAACGGAAGAATAATGACTAAGCGCTGGTTTTACTATTTAAAATATGCCGGTTTGTCAGTATCGTTTACGCCCGACTGATTTTAATAGAATTAATACAGCTCGCAAGTCAACTTTCAGTAAAATACTGACGCCTTCCAATTTTCACTAGAGACTTTTCATCGATCTTGACCGAGCCCGAAGCAAGCCATCGTCCAGATTTCCACACAAAACCTACGAGAGTCTACAGATGAGAAATACAAAGATACCATTAAGGCGACGCGAAAGTGGCATCAAAGAGGCTTCGTTTTATGAAACTTTTCTCTGAACTGGGTGTAGCGAATCGTGTCAAACTTTACAACGTGATTATGGAGGCCATGCGGAAGGTTCTAACACCCGTGAAATTTCATGATTTTAACCATTTTTGTATATAGATATTTTTTAAATTATCAGGGGTGTCAGCATCTTCCTTACAACCTCCTTATTCAACGGGTAAAATTTAAAACGATTCGGTACACCCAGTTTGGAGATAAGTCTTATGAATAATTGGCCCCTCGTATGGCACTTTCGCGTCACCTTAATATATCGACTGCGAACACGTTATCTCCCAAGAATATTATCATCGGTGTCACAATCGCATAGAAGACGGGAAAAAAAAACAGAACGAGAGTGCCGTACAAAGTTTCGAAGTGATCAAAAAACGGGACAACTGGATACATTTTTCTTTTTTCTTTGCTTAATCCAACGTTTCCGCCTGCTTCGAAACTTCGATGCGGAGAGTGTTCTAAACGTTGAAATCTCCCAGAGACAGTCGTGGTACGAAGAGATTAACGTGACATCGCAAGCTCGTTGCAAACCAGAGATCGAGGAAAATTCGCATATCCACCGGACTCGTTTCTTCTCTCTCTTTGAGTCTTCTCTCTTCCTCGACAGTGTCGGCGAGAGTTCTAACTCGTCGGGGAAACATGTAAACGTGAGAGCAACATACATGGTGGCATGCAAAGTTAGCGTTAAGGGTAAAAAAAAAAGAAAAAAGAAGAACTAGCAGTGGCGTGTGAGGATGATACGAGTAGACAGAGAAGGAGACATTACAAGACGCAGAGGACACTCGGGCCTCGCAAGAGGGGTTCCAGAACATACATAAAACAGAAAATAGATACTCACTTAATCTGGGCGGTCTTTTGAGTCGGGGTAAGGAGAGGACAGCTTGAAATGAAAGAAAGCGCGGGATCGGCCCTCATCAGCTCGTAATTCTCGTAGCCGTGTTTGTAGCAGCCAACTATTAGGGACTTGTCTGCCTCAGAGTCCCACCATTTCGCCGGAGGCTCCGCCAACTGCGGAGGGTTTAGCCGCAACGCACTGTAGGGCGGTTCCATTTACAATTTGCCAATTCCATTAAAGCCAATCGTCTACGAGGCCCCTCGCAAGGGACCTCCCCCGTTTTTGATAGAAATTTTGCTCAAGACTTGACGAGATTTCAGTTCCGACTACGACCTGTGAGACTTGACTTCTCCACGGTTCTATCTTTTTGGAGCACACTCAGAGCTGGACATCTCGTACATTTACGGCGATCCTAAAGGATCGTTGTCTCTCTAGTCGCGATAAATCTCGACAGAACAGCGAAGGATGATACTTGATACTTTAATAGTAAACGGAGTGATTTTAATCGAGAGATCTATTCATGGAAGATATCTCGATTGCGTACTAAAGTCCGAAATACGGCGAACGGAACTGACCTCGCCAAATCTTTGGGATTCAGGTGGTATTGTTTTTCCTTCTTTTTTTTTTTTCTTTTTTTCTTTTTGCCCTTTCGGTTGATTCTCGCCCTCTTGACACAGTGCACTGCTCGGTGCTTCCCCGGGTCTTACCAAACCGACGTCGACTTCGCTCACCCCTTCCGGAGTGCGCGGTTCCATTAACCGTCGCAGGTGTGATGCGATTAAAAGTGAGGGGGTTGGTTGGGGAGGGTAATATCGTATTAGTAGCAAGAGCGCCAACATTAGGCAGTCGCATTTGCAGAGCTAAAAAGCTAAACGCAGCTTAGCTCTATGATGTATGACCTCGCCGTACTAGTACAGCTCCCAGGGTAGACACATACGATGCACATGCAACTATAAGCACTGTGGAAGCTCATGTGTAAGTGCACGATGTTCATGTTAAGCCACTTAATAAGGAGTAACAGAAAAAGCGCGGTGTATGCGACAAATCCTACTGACCTCACGTGAACGCCGTCGGAGATGTGCTGGACCAGATCGCCGATGATCTCATGCTTGATGTAGTACAGCATACGAACTCGTAGGAGAACCCTAGAATCGTTAAGATCATAAACGTCCATCCATTTACCACTGATCGAGTACACAACATTTAACCAGAAGTTAAACGCCGGATGACTGGCATTTAAATCCCGTTGCGAGTCACGATCTATGGATGCAAAGTTAGACGCACTTGTTCGCATGTCGGCTGAGGTGCTTCTTGTAGTTGCTCTCGAGGAAGATGTCGCCGTCATACTTTTCGGCATGGCTCCAGTGATTGGGATCGCTGGGACCGCCATTCCCTGTAGCCGATCCTCTAGTCTCCCTCCCCTCCCGAACGCGGCCTTTCTTTTTCTGCCTGCTGTTCCTGCTGCTGGTATTAACGTTTATCGACTTGATCTTCTCACCGTTCTCCAGGGGCGTGATGAGGTCCCATATGAAGTTACGTATCTTCTCGTCGCCCCGGTAATAACGAAGGCAGTAGAGCAAGATCACTCTTGCACAGTCCTCGACGTCGATCTCGCGCCAGCCTCTTCGGAATTGGCTGTGCTGGAGGATTTCCTCCCAGCGACCCCAGCCGAAGGTGAGAAGGCCTCGTTCCACCTTGAAGCACTCGCTGCGAGCCCAACTTCCATACACGACCTCCCCTTCGCGGGGTATGTACTCGTCGTAGAACTTCCGAGTCTTCTTGCCGAATTTGTCCCTGCGCTTCTTGCCTGGTCGTGAGAGAATATTACGGATGTCAGTCTTTCAGGACTTGGATGTACCTACGCTTGCACCAAAGTCCGATCGTATCACCGCCGAATATGGAAGCAAAACATTGCCCGTAAAACAAAATGATGCCGTGTGAACACCTCCATGCACTTTCTACCGTAACAAAGGAGCATTGTTAATTGCACGCGACTCCGGGCCGATTAGCTCTGCTAATAAACTGAACTATGGGACGTAACGTATGGCGATAATTGGGAAAATCGCGCGGTGACTCGTGCCTGGGCAAGGTAACTTATGGGGGGGTAAACGAAAAAATGATGTGCGGCATGCACATATAGTAACATACCTCTACCTGTTAAGCCACTGACGTCGTCGTCGCTGTTCTCGTCGGAGCTGTCGAGCTCCGACATGTCGACCACGGACTCGTCGTGTCCGTACCGTTTGATCTGCGTCCTTCGTCTTGGCTCGGATATGACCAGCTCGTCCTCTTCCTTCTTCTCCGTGGTGTCGATCTCGGCTTTCTTCGCCCATTTCTTCCAGAAGTCCGGGTCGTCGATGTTGATGTCCGTCCTGTTGGACGAGCACGCGAAGCTCGCCTTTGAAAACGTTGAACCCTTCTCTGCCTCTATGGTGATGATCTAGAAAAGAATTATCGTATGAAGATAAGATTGCCCGTAATTATTACCATACATTAAGAATGTGTTATCGAGGGCTCGTATCGCACCTGCGTCCTCCTTTCAAGAATCTGTTCGATGTCCTCTTCGCAAAACTTATCGCCAGCATTATCGTCATCCATAATGGCACCGTAGGCTCCTTTCTTGAGAAGGTCCTCTATCTCTTTCTTCGTTAACTGTTTATTACTCTGGTCTTTACTTTGGCTAGTGTTCATGGACTGCAAAATCGCCTTGTCGAGGCCGAGTTTCAACGAGGCTTTGTCGAACATCTCTCTCTCGTAGGTGTTACGACACAACAGACGGTAAACTTTGACCATCTTTTGCTGACCTATTCTGTGACATCGAGCTTGAGCCTGGAAATGAGAAAATCGAAAAGTTACTCTCGAACGGAATCTTACAGATCTTAGAAGTTTGAAATCAAAGCTTGTACCTGTAAGTCGTTTTGTGGATTCCAATCGCTGTCATATATAATAACGGTATCTGCTGCCGTTAGATTAATACCAAGGCCTCCCGCTTTTGTGCAAAGCAGGAAGACAAATCTATCGGAGTCAGGCTTACTGTACCGATCGATCGCAGCTTGTCTCAAATTGCCTCGAATTCTGCCATCGATTCTTTCGTATGGATATCTGGAAAGGAATTTCAATGTTCACGTAACTTGGAGTACAAAGCTAAACGACTTAAGAGATGTTATAATATGCGTTAATGCGTACTTTTTATATACTAGATAGTCTTCGAGAAGGTCTAAGCATTTCACCATCTGGCTGAAAATTAATACTCTGTGACCGCTAGCTTTAAGTTTCGGCAGTAGTTTGTCGATGAGGACCATCTTTCCGGAACTGTTAACCAAGGCATGATAGTAGGCCTCTGAATCTTCCTTCTCGTTGGTTTTATAGTCTAGTTGAATCTGATCCTCAGCACCATTGAGTAGGAACGGATGGATGCAGCACTTCCTCAACTCCATCATCGTGTTCATCAAATTCGGAATGTTCGCAGACGTAGTGCCCTTTGCGAGGAAAGAGAAGTTCCTTTCCAGAATACCGCGGTAGTACTTCTTCTGTATGTTTGTCAGCTCCACCTGAAACAAAAGGTAAGATGCGAATAACTATTTCCTCCGTTCAATAATGGATAAAAATAATTTTTCTCGATTTTTCAGTCGTAAGGAGTCTACCTCTACAACGGTCTCTTCTTTCGGAGCCAGGGACTTTTCGACGTCTTCTTTGAGACGACGCAACATCATCGGTTTCAACAGCAACTGAAGCTTGTGCACCTCGGTCTCGCTACTTAAATTACCAAATTCTTTCAGGAAGGCTTCGCTACTAGAAAATTGAATCGGCTCGAGGAAGTTGAGCAACGAGAAGAGTTCATTAACGTTATTTTGCAAGGGCGTCCCCGACAGAAGTACGCGATGCTCCAAGTTAAGCTGACGCAATCCTTCGAGCAGCTTGCAATTACGATTTTTAAGTCGGTGGGCTTCGTCGATAACGCACAGCCTCCAGTTGTACCCCCGCAGGTCGTTAAAATCCGTAATAATGATCTCAAAGGTGGTAATCAGAACGTTGAATTTGACTAAATCCTTAATCTGCTGGCCCTTTTCATTTTTGTAGTAAACCTCATACTCTTGCAACATAGTTCGGCTGGCAGCACTGAAAGCATACAATCGCGATTATTTCGGATCCAAAAAGAAACGATTGGCTATTATTACACTAGGACAAACACTTACGACCCATGGTACACGATCACATTCATATCGGTCCAGCTCTCGAATTCACGCTGCCAATTGGGAATGGTCGAAAGGGGTGCGATTATCAGAAAGGGCCCACGTATCCCGTACTTGTAGACCGCGTCGACAAAAGTCAGTGATTGAATCGTTTTCCCTAGACCCATCTCGTCCGCGAGAATACAATTATGACCGTTGTACCACGAAAACAATAACCAATTGAGACCTTCCAACTGGTAGGGCCTAAGGCTGTTGTTATTTTTATAAATCGGCGACTCCTCTAACTTAACCCATGCTGACGCTTGAGGCTTCTTTTTCGGCTGGAAATTGAGAAGCCATGTAGGTGGAAAACATTATCCCAAGGGATCGATAAATCGAAAGTAAATTAACGTAACGGTGGAAACACTTCATGACGTATTACCTTCCACTGATCCTTCGGCGGCAATTTATTAAATCTATGAAAGAGCGCTATTTTCTCGGGATCGACATCCTCCTCTAATTCCCATGTCGAGTCCTCGTACTGGAGAGACCGCCACTTAACAAGGAAATGTCTTAAAGTTTCTCCGGATGTTGGGTCCACATGAGTCGCCTCGTCCAGAACTCTATCCACCTCGACAAAGTCTGGATTGAAGGGGTCATCTTCGGTCTACGATAAGAGGAAATCGCGATTACACATTATACATTTCCACGTTCTTAGGCATTAGTCACGATCGTTCTCATCACGATGTTACGAAATAATTATAAACACATATAAAGGACAAATTATTACATTCTCGAATATATTAGTGTTCTGTTGCTGTTTCTGCTTGAACCTCTTCAGCTTAGCTTGAATTCTCTTGTCGCCCTTGTACAGTTCTTCTTCCGTTCTCCATTCGCAGTGCAAATACGAGAAATTCCTATATTTTACTAAATACTCCTCTACCTCAATAAGCTGAGGCTTTACATCGACAGGTACAGGTTGAGGTTTAGGTTGAGGGTCGGGGTTGGGGTCAGGTTCGGCTTCAAGCTCAGGTTCAGGTTCAGGTTCGGGCTGCATAGAATCAACAACAACCTCTTCGTTCTTTTCTTCACTTTGTTCTGGCTCGTCTTGTTCTTGTTTTACGACGTTATCAACGTCGACTTTCTCTTTTTCTTCGACCTCGCCTTCGTCTCCCTTCTCAAGCTTATCCTCTGTACTCTCTTCTTCCTTCGAGGCCTCATTCGCCAAACCTGCTTCTTCCTTTGGTTTCTCCTCGACATCGCCGTCTGCGTTGCCGGCACCGTCTGCCGCTTTGGCGGAAATCTCAGTCTTTTCAGCAATAGGTTCTTGCTTAACTTCAGGTAATACCTCAGGTTTAACTTCTCGTTTCCCTATCCGGGTGCACAAAATGTGCTGCACAACCATCGAGTCTTCGTCAGTTGTATTCTAAGGAAAGAATACCCAACAATTAAACGAAACATTCTCAACATATGCAGCCTATCAAGGAAAATTAATAACAAACTTCTCGTACTCACAATATATACAAAGTTCGGTTTATTTGGTCCAATATCGCCACCCTCGTTTTCTTTCTTCACCGCTGCGGGTTTCGAGGCGTTCGCGCCTTCCAACTTCTTCGTCAGTTGCGCTTCCTGAAGAGGCACATCGTCATCGGAGAATCTGAGCATCACGTCGTCCACGTACTTCTTGCGATGCGTGTTTCTCGCGGAACGTCTTTTGTTAAGATCGTCTCCAGCTTCCGGAGATGGCGGAGGTGTCGTCGCCAGTTCCTCGCCATCGGAATCAGGAGCAATGCGACTCTTGCGTTTCCTAGAACAGTTAACAAGCGGTTAAGTAAAATCAAACGCGGAAACGTGTGCGTTAAACGACCTCCCAAAATTGCCTGCCCGTCACACGAATGACCGTAACAAAATTACAGAACAAATTCCAAATCCAACATACTTAGCATTCCTTGGGGATCTACCAGCAGGAAGTTTGCTCGTAGAAGACCTTTTGCGACTCGGAGCTTTCTTTTTGACAGGAGTAGCAGCCTCGGTAGCCGTTGCATCCGGGGCGATCTCCTTCTTCTCCTCTTCGGGAACCTCCTCGGATTCCGTCTTCTCTTCGCCTTCCTCCTTGATTTCGGTAATCAAGGGTTCGGTGGTAGAAGAGTCGACGTGTTCCTGGTCATCCTGAATCGGCGGTTCGCTCGGCTTTACCTCGCCGTCTTGAATTACCAACTCCGAGACGGCCGCTTCCTCAACTTCGGCGACAACCTCGTCGTCGGCCGATTCGGATTGATTAGGTTTCCTGCGACAAAACGCGATATAGTAATAATTCTTTGGCGCCCGGAGAACTGGCCGCGACATAGCTAAACGAGATAGAAGTGAATCAATTACTTTCTGTTACGTTTCGCCGCTTCCTTGGGCTCCTTGCTCTTCTTCTTGCCCTTGGGGGATTTTGCCTCCTTTGGCGTCTTCGGTTCCTTCTTAGGTTTAATTTCCTTGGGCTCCTTGGGTTCCTTCGGTTTGCGCGGCTTCCTCGGAGGACGCGCTTTCCTGGTCTTGTTCCACTCCTCCTCCATGTCCCCAGAAGAGGGCTTGATGTCCTCGGAGTCGGCTACGCTGTCGACGACGTTACTGCTGTCCCCAGGTGTGACTAGATTGTCCGATAGAGGTTGCTCAGGTTGAGGAAGCGGCTGCACCGTGATCGGAGTGACCGCTTCCTTGTCCGCCTTTTTCCTGCTCTTCTTCGCCCTGGGAGCGCCTTTACTTCGCCCTCGACCTGTCGTGCTCGATACCTGACAAAAAGGCACACCGCGGTATAAAAACTGATTCCTTTCCACGAACGGGCATTACAGATCCGGCACCGCTCAGGCAATAAAGAAAATCGACCACGGTATCAATCTCGTCGTAACTTCATAACCTGAGGAGGAAAGATGCAGGAGAGCCTACGTGGAGAACTCGGTGAATCCGCATGGTAACAGATCCTCGACACAAGGTAAAAACCATAGTAAACCATCTCGACAGAAATCAATTACAATAACACGGTTACCCAAACAAATCCCACCACCGCGTGGAAAACATTAACCACATCCAAGACGCCCAGCGAATCCACCGAAATCCACGAAAACCCTTTGAGAGTACGATAGATCCAAAACTGTGCAAGTATACGTACGACATTACACACCTGAGGGCTGTCAACGACGGCAGCGGTGAACATCGGCGTCTGGAGGATGCATTGCGGTCCACCGTTGCACTGGTCATTGGTCTCGTGCTGTTGCAGAGCCTGAAGTTTGTCCTTCAGAGCGACGATCTTCTCCTGGTTCTCAGGCGCATGCGGCATGCAATAGAGTTCTTGCAGCTGTTGCTGAAGAGCAGCCCTCTCCTGATGATGCGTGACCGGGGCGCAGGCATTGTTGAAGCCACCAGGTCCTACAGGCGTGGGCGTCGCTCCCGGTGGCATTCCGTACATGCTGGTGATGGTATTACCGCTCATCAGATCCCCAGTAGCGTGGTACTGTTGTCCAGACCCGACCAGTATGTCGCCGGGATAGAGGTTCCCCTTCTGGATATTCGTGTACTCCCCGAAGCCAGGTTGAACAGGTTGTACCGGGTGAGGTGGCTGAGCATTTGGCAGAGAAACGGCGGTCTGGTGAGTCGGCATCACGAGGGTGCCGGTCTGTCCCACGGCAGGCATCTGTTGAACAGCCAGATGCGTGGGCGGTACCTGGTTGCTCTGGCTGGTGATCTGTTGACCTTGGTTCTGTACAGGAGTCGGCATTTGCGGCTGATGAGGAATCTGAGGAGGAAGCAGTTGGTTGCTGGTCGGGATCATAGGGACTTGCGGGCCCATATGCGACTGAGACTGTTGCGTCTGTCCCAGGAGGGGTTGCTGGCTCTGAGTCTGAGGAGGCACGAGCGACTGCTGATTCGGTTGCTGTTGCTGCGACTGCACGAGCTGCGGCTGCGTCGGTGGCTGTCCCATCTGCGAAGCCGGCGGCTGAGACATCGGTGGCTGCTGGGTCTGTGGGATTTGCTGTTGCTGCGACGGGGCCATCTGCGGCTGCGGAGTTTGACCAATCTGCGGTTGCTGCGGCTGGCCCATCTGCGGCTGCTGAGGCTGGCTCATCTGCGACTGCTGAGGCTGGCTCATCTGCGACGGCTGAGGTTGGCCCATTTGCGGCTGCTGTTGCTGACCTGCCATTTGCGGTTGCTGCGACTGCGGAGGTTGGCCAATCTGCTGTTGCGGAGGCTGACCCAGCTGCGGTGGCTGCGACTGGCCCATCTGCGGTTGCTGAGGTTGGCCGATCTGCGGCTGCTGGGATTGACCTATCTGCGACGATTGCGGACCCAGCTGAAGCTGCTGAGTCTGGCTCATCTGGGCCTGCTGGGGCTGACTCATCTGCGTCGGCTGCGACTGATGGGGATGGCTTATCTGCGCCGGCTGAGACTGACTTATCTGCGACTGCTGAGCCTGAGTAATCTGCGACAACTGTGGCTGGCCCATCTGCTGCGGCTGAGGTTGGCTGATCTGCGACTGCTGGGGCTGGCTGATCTGCGTTGCCTGGGCCTGGCTCATGGGCGGTTGCTGGGGCTGAGAGATCGGCGACGGCTGGGGCTGCTGGCCCATCGGCGAGTGCTGGGCCTGCGACGTTTGGTTAAGGGACGAGTGCTGGACCAATTGCGGTTGACCTTGCAAGTGGAGCTGTTGCATCTGCGGTTGGGTACATACCAAGGACTGCTGCTGGCTCTGTTGCTGAGATTGGCTAACTAGAGGCTGCTGATGCGTCTGCGTAGGAGGCGCCACGGATTGCTGGTGAGGCTGGGCGTTCACCTCCAGCGGCTGCTCCGCGATGACGTCGACGCTGGACCCGTTGTCCGCGTTCGACGAGACTGCGCTCGTCACCTGCGACTGCGACTGGACCGCAGGGGACATGCAATTAGAATCCGCGTTACCACTGGTACTGGAAGCCGGCAGGGACTGCACCGGCTCGGCCTGAACCGGAGTCATCGGTGCCGTTTGTTCCATGGACGGGTTGACTTGAGCGTTGCTCTGCACCGGGCTTTCGCCCCGTCTGCCAAGGCCCTCGGAACCCTGACTGACCGACGAGCTCTGGTCCGGAGACCCGACCTCCGACTTCGGGGGCTCGTTGGAGGTCGGCGCATTCTCCGGAGGGTCCCTCGACGTCGTCTCGATTACGCTGTGAATACCGTCGGGTCCGTTGACAGGGTACACGCTGGGCGACTGCTCGGGTGTCGCGGGAGGCTGCGAGTCCATCATGCTCCTCCCGTCGTTCGCGCCCAGGGTGGGTCTGATCTGCGCCGACTGCTGCTGCTGTTGCTGTTGCTGCGGAGGCGGCGGCGGTTGCTGCGGTTGCTGTGGCTGCTGCGGGTGCGGCCACTGCGAGGGCATGGGCATCCTGGGACCGGCGACCGGCGACATGGAGTTTTGTGCGGGCGAGCTTTGTTGCGGCAGGATCGGCGAGGTGTGGGACATCGGCGGCCGCGCCTGGAACTGGTTGTAGTCCTGACTGGGGACGTTGGGGTTAGGGACCGCGACCCCGGGGATGACCATTTGCTCGAGGGCCTGGAGGGTACTCTGCTGCTGCGTCGTGGCCGAGGCCATTTGCGGCATCGACGAGGGCGGACACGGCGACACCGATACCGAGTTCGGCTGGCTTGACTGCTGGTGCGGCGGGAGCTGGACGTGGGGATGAGGCGAGAGGGCGTTGGGCTTCGCGGGCGACATGATCGGCCTGGGCGACATCTGTTGCTGCACGCTCGGCGGCCGGGGCGACATCTGCGGCCTGGGAGACATCTGCGGGGACAGCTGGGAGAAGTTGGCCCGGTACTGGGGACTGGTCGCGAGCTTTGTCGTCCCGAACTGCGCGGTGGCGCCCGGATGCTGAGGCTGGTTGAACATCGGCGCGGCGTGGTGAGGGTACTGCGGGTCCAGGGTCTGCTGGGTGCCGGGATGTTGGCCGTGCTGGGGATACTGTTGATGTGTCGGATGCGTCTGATGGGGCTGGTGGGTCGCGTGGTGGTGGGGCATCCGCTGCGACTGCGATTGGGTCTGCTGTTGCTGCTGGTGCATCGCAGTCGCGAAACCAGAGTAGCCACCGGAGGCCTGGTACATGGCCGCCGGACTGCCCTGCTGATAGTGCTGCTGCTGCCCCACCATGTGCTGATAGACTCCGCTCGTGCTGCCCGGCTGCATCCCCTGGTGCGGCACTCCCATGGTTCCCATCATCCCCTGTTGCGGGTTGAAGTGCTGTTGCTGCTGCTGCTGCTGCTGTTGCTGTTGGATCTTCTGGTTGATGGCGGGCTGCTCCTGCTGGTGGGGGTACTGAGGCATGTGTTGCCGGTAGGTACCCGGCTGGGGTGCCATCTGGTTGTAGTGCCTCTGCATCTGCGGGTACGTACCTCCGGTACCTGGCCAACCCTGTATCCCGGGATCCATGCTCAGGTTGGTCCTCGCCATCGGGTGCTGCTGCTCCATCGAGTACATGTTGTCCGAGTAACTCGGGTACTGGGTGCCGGTACCGGGGTGAGGGCCCCGGTGCTGCGGCGTTATGCTGCGCGCCTGGTTTTGGAACGCCCCCGGCACCATCGCTCGCTGGGGAGCGCCGCCGTCGAACGAGCCCAGATTCTGATTGAACATACCGCGCTGTGATGTGCCTTGCAACGGGCCGGAACTCCCGAACTCTGATCCACCGAAGGATGTCAATTTCTGCAGAGGAGACTCCTGAGACATACTGTACGTCTGGCCGATGTAACTCCCTCCTCCATTGGGCCCGGGATTGGGACCGTCCCTTGACACTACCACGGAGCTGGCTGCTCCTGCCGGATCGAACTGATCGTTCCCCCCAAGATCAGGAAGAGCATCGAGCATTGAGCCACTGACATCTTCACCGAATAGGTCGTACGAGTCCATGTCTTTACGCTGCACGACTCTTCGCCTCCGTCTCGGGCTCAAGAGGGTATTGCAAGACCTTGCCTTTGACCGGTAACGTGCCCATTGTCAATTCGTTTCTGCTCTTTCTGAAACACCGTAGAATTACAATTGTAGAGATGCACTAGCTAACCGCAGTATAGAATTCAAAACTAAATGAAATAAATTCAATAAATCCTATGACCACGGTCATCGATGTGAATATGGGTCCGGAACAGTTTTGTTGCTGATGATTACACGCTAAAGGGGAAAAGCTATACGCTTATGGCTTAAATCTTCATAATCGCTATAACCTTTCCCCTTCGGAATGAATCAATATGGTCCATAGCTGCTGTGCTATCCAGGGTCAAGGTCATCTATAGAAATAATTAGTAACAGTCGACATGGAGATAACTTTGTCTTTAGACTCTTTCAATACTTTGGTTTTTTTTTTTTTAATTTCATCCACGACCAGACTCCGACTCTATTTAAATTAATGAAAAGGCATAAGAAATAATTTGAATGATATAAAAAATACCCTGAAAATGTACCACAGAAATCATTATAAAATATAAACTCTAATGAATGAAATTACTACCATCGCTCGCTTCTCAATGACAAACTTATAAATGCACGTATCTCATAAATATTATTTAAAAAATGCAATACAGTAATTTCGTTTGATCATAAACGATAAACCAGCATTAATTTCATACGTCTAAAGCGACTGCTCAGTAATTGAACTAAAATGCATGGAATTCTCAAGGACATAGATTAATCATGTTTTCTAACCGACAAGCTTACGTTACGCCTTGATGAGAAAATAGCTTAAAAATACATTTCCCCGACTCCTTGAATACAATATATAAAGGTCTATAAGGTCGTTACAAAATAGTAACCAAGAAACATCGTTTGAGAAATTACTGTAACACACCATGCCACGTTAATATCATATCTAAACACATCCTAACCAACGAACCGGCAACTCGCAGACACAGATTACGGCAACGGTCGGCACAGCCAATGCAAATCACTTGCACGACGTACATAAGAAATTTAAACAAGAACCTATCCGAACGATACAGGCACAGATGCAAGACTTTCTCTATCGTTAGAACCGAGTCTTCCTTGGCTAGACGTACGAACTCCACAACGCACCTCAAAATTTTCACGCAATGCCATCGGATCGACTTAACTTGACACCCATCTAAATTCCAACGGATACATTGCTTCCTTTGAAGATAAGTACAAATTGCTTCTCAAGAAACATGTGACAAGAAAATCCTTGTCTCAGAAGATGATCCTACCCTGCTACAGTTGTCCGGAGGAGGCAGGACTGGCAGAAGGTAACGAACCTCTCAAGGAGTAGGCACACACGTTGCCGTGGCGTTAAAGTCACGGCCAGGACTCGGGACTCGCAGCTACTCGCGATTACTCGCGACCGCGACGTCCATCGCCCCTCGACTCGTCTCTCGCTTCGTCGTCGGCGTTCTCAGCAAGAAGAGGAAGCACGGAGGCGCATGCACGCCGGCCTCGCGTCGTCCGCCTCGGCAGGTCCCGGACGCGCGAACGACGAGGAGCACGTCGGAGCGTGCGCCATTACCTCGAGGCCTCGGCTTGGGCCATCCGAGGAGAGCGAGGAGTCCGAGGCGCCCGAATGGCCTGCGCGACGTTCGATACTCGGCCACGGCGGTGGCGTCGCTTCTCGCCCTCGCTCCTCGGCACGCTCTCCAGCTCGGCGACTCCCTCGATGGCGTTCACGCGACACGACCGACGCGCGGTGATCCCAGAAACGCGCGAGACTGCACCAAGACGGAAAGACCCTCGCAGCACGCGTCCAGGCAATTCTCTTCGGCAGTGGCGGCGGCACAAACCGTCGAGGTGCAAGCGTGTCCGAGGGCCCGAATCATTCTACACGTCGCTTCACTCCTCGCTCCGTCTCACTCGCACCTGCGCCCGGGCCGATCGCGCGTCACCCTCCATCTTTATCTCTTTCTATGGCCTAACCATTCTCTCCGTGCACCCGTCCTCGCTCCTCCCCCGCCGCGCCATGCACCGCTCCGCCGGCTACGTGCACGCACACACTGAGAGACGCGGCGGCACGCGAGCTCGCTACTCTTGCGGGCCCGGGGGTGGGGGAAGGGAAGCCGCCGGGATACCCTCTCACTCCCTCGCGCCGGCGGAGCGCGCGCCAGAGGAGAGACCGGTCTCCCGGGAGGCGGGGTGGGGGTGCCCAATGAGGCGCCCTCCGGCGCGCACCGCTTCCGCGAGGTTACCCGTGCGCCGCGCACCGCATCGTGCACGCGCGTGGCTCGCGCGTGCGAACGCCTCTGTGTCTTTCTCTCTTCCGCTCACGGGAGGGACGCCCGTGCCTCTCTCTCTCTCGCGGTTGACTCGTCTCGGCGGGACTTGAGACGGCATTCGGAGGAACGGCCCCCACGGTCAACGCGGCCAGTATCGAAGTATCGCATTTACGGATGTGCGCCATGACATGTCCGACCCACCAATCGGCGCCCAGCGTCGCCGCGATTTGACAATTGCCATTGGTCCATAAGCCGTAAATACCGCTCTCGCCGAGTCGAGAACGATCGATGCGAGAGCACTGTCTTTCGAGACTTTTCGAACGCACCTGTCCGGTTAATCCATTCAATTGCACGTGCCTCGCGAGAAATCCTCGCCGAGGGACGGCTCCCGTTTCTTCTTCGGCCTTACTCGAGAAAGGCAGAATCCTGCCGAAGGACGGAAAAAGACCCTCGCCAGATATTTACACCGTAACGCGATTATTTCTACAAAAACTGCCAACCATAGGTGACTGAAATCGTCGGTTTGTGGAAAATCCGAAAAAAATAAATACAAATGTTATATAAATGTTTGATTAACTCCAGAATAATGTGTGGTGTAAATACTGCCTTGTCATTGCTCTTAACTCCGCATGTTCTAATTCGTACATTTTTCTGCCCACCTTTTACTTTAATCTATATTCATCAACTCGAAAGAAATAAATGGCGTCGCTTATTTCGGGTAATCGAGTAGTTTCCGAAATAATTATGTTAAAAAATATGTCAAGTGTAGTTACAGGCAAGAGTATTGTATTCTAATAAGATCGACGTGTTTACCCACCAATGTCTGCCAGTAAGGAAACTTAGGTCGATAAGGACGTTTCTAATAAAAATGAATCATGCTTTCAGCATGCGGATTAAAATACTTTGTCACTCGGCGAAACGATCGATCGCGGCCCCCCCTCTCTTACCCTCGAATCAGTCTCTTTCTGGAAAATCTACAATCTAAATCAATAACGCTCCGGCGGAACGCTTTAAGAACATCCCTCGAAAAAAATATTCCAATCATTCCTGATTAAATTCCGAGACGTTCGAAGGTACTATTTAAGATAACATATTATAATAAAAAGTGAAAAACCACATCCTTCCACCATCCTCAGTTCGATTCACCTGGTACCCTCATTACATCCCATAATATTATGTATACGTGTAATATATTCTAACATAATGTTTAAGTTGTAATGTTAAAGTTAAATGCCAGAACGTTTATCATGTTTTTCTTACCCGATTTTGATTTTCTCTTATGGTAAAATTAACTCAAATTTTGCAAAAACAGACTTCCGTTTCTTTATAACGGCTGATAACGGCTATTTGAAGTCGTAAGATTCGTAACTAATATTAGTATCAAAATGTATAAAGGTGGGAGACCAAAAAGTAAATTATGGAATGAAACAAAAATGGACAAGATGGATGTTTACAACCTAGCGGATACCGCATGCCCTACGCTGTCTCGTCCGCCATATTTGATACGTTTCTCCTGATTTTCTCCATTTTCTACGTTAAACTACTTGATTTACGTAATATACGTCAAAAGCCTCGAAAATCCTGAAATTACCCAACCCTGCTCATACCCCGTCTCTCGTTGACACATGAGATATAGTTTTTCGAGGTTACGTTCGACAGCGCCTTACCTACCGCAGCGCCTCACGGTGGCAGCTATCGAAAGGAGAAAGACGGTGTAAAAAAGTTTCCCCGACGACGGAAATTCTGAGTTTTTAGATCTTTATATCCGACACGCGGCCATTGTTCCCTTGATATTCTTCCGAATATCAAGCGAGAACGAGAGAGCGCAAACAGAGGGGCTACCCTTTCCCTCTCCCTCTCTCCCTCTCTTGATGTTCGAAAAAAAGCGGAGCGGGGAGAGAGAGAAAGAGAGAAAAAAAAGAAGAAGCAGCCGACGCTGCTCGATCGAGCCCAGCGTTTCCCACCGGGAAACGTAAACTTTCACGAGCTTCTCCTCGCGGCTCGGCCCTAGAAAGCCACGGCGGCGCATCGCGCTGACCCCGGGGCCTCCAGGTGCCGTCCCGGTCGCGGCAATCCTCTCCTCTCCAAGCCTCTCCAGGTACCGCCCGGTCGCGGCGATCCTCGCCTCTCCAGGGCCGGCACGAGGGTACGGTTTTCCAGAATTTTCGAGCTCCTCGCGCCTCCCCTGTCAGCTCCAATTGTTCGATCTGCCGGCAAGAGAAAGCCCCGAATGCGACGCCGCGCTCGTATATATACGTATGCATCTGTGTACAGATACACGCATACATATATACCCGAGGTGTAACAGAATTCCCGACTAAGGTTTGCACATCGCCATGTTCGTTGAAAATGGAGCCGGAAGAAGTCTTGTAGAATTTTTGAAATTATGCTTTTTACCTGCCGATGGTGGGTGCAAGTTCACGTGTTACGAAAGGAGAAGCGTTTTTTATCTTGCGCTTTTTTCTTTTTTTTCCCCTTTCTCATTTTACGGGGAATTACTATGTACTTTCATCTTTGTGTCCTGGTATTAAGGTAATGTCCAAAGTGGCGTCAAAGAGGTCTCGTTTGTAAAACTTTTCTAAGTAATGGGTGTATCGAATTCCGTTTCAAACTTTATTACGTAAATCTGGAGGCTTTAAAGATGGTCCTGACGCCCACGAAATTCCAATTTTAAGATAATTTGTTACTGGCTATTTAAAAAAAAATTTTTTTTATAAAACGTGAAATTTCCCGAGTTTCGGGACCTACCTTAGGGTCTTCTTATTCACGTGGTATAATTTGAAACAAATTGGTACAGCCAATTCGGA